GTTGCACCATTCAAGCGGTAGATCATATCATCTACAGTCGGTGTAGGATGGCGTTCACGCATTATTGCCTTGTTGGGAACACGCATGTCCACACAAATGCGTATCTCATCTGGATTCTTCGGCTTTGGTGGAGTGACAATTGGGCTTACCCATGGTGTTGGGCCTGTTACTGGTTCAATGATATCTAGTTCTATCAGCCTATCCAGTTCGGCATCGACTTTCTTGCGAGTATGGAATGGTTGTCGGCGATGAGGTTGGGTAACTGGAACTACATCTGGGTTGATATGCAGATGTACTTTGCTATCAGTATAACAACCTATGGATTTAAATCGATCAGAAAATTCAGCAACAATACCATCAACATTGTTTGCAGATTCCACTGCTACAGCATTAGAAAGCTGAAGTAGCCCCAATTTGGTTGAAGTCTTGTAACTGAGTAAAGACTCCTTTGCATTCCTAACAACATGGAATGTAGTAATGAGCATTGCATTCTTTGACTTAATCTCTGCAGTGAAAGTTCCAATCACTGGCAAGGCTAACTTCGAAGCATAGGCAGTGGCTTTGCCATTATAGTTTTCAAGCTTTGGGAACTGTTTTTTAAATTTTTCATAGTGGCACTCAGCAATGGTATCAATGTTTGATCCAGTGTCAATGAGAACTTTGAGACAAATACCAGCAATGTATACACATGTGTCTGGGTTGTTTGGAAGATCATTCCATTCTGTGATTGCTTGTACTCCATAAGTATAATCACATTCACTGTCATCTGAGACTGGTTGTAATGAAATGTTGTCTTGTATATTATTAACATTCTGGATATGAGGTGCAATATTGTGTTTACCACCTCGACCCCTATGACCTGATCCTCGTACAGTGCTTTTATTCATTGACTGTGGTTTCTTTAGTGCGGAACGACACATAGCACCAAAATGACCTAGTTTTCCACACTCATAGCACTTCTTACCTTGAGCAGGACAAACATTATCTTGGTGTGGGTAGTCTCCTCCACAATTGTAACATTTATTGTTGACACCCTCTGATGTGGGTCGTTGTGACTGCTTGAGCCTTGTTCCTTGACCCCAGTTGTGACGTGGTTCTCGGCTAAATTTACTGTTAGGTTTGGCATATCTTCTTTGATTGCGATGTCCTCCCTGAACCTTACGTACCTCATCACTGTTAGTAACAGTGGCAGAACCGTTATTAGCACTGCACTCCATGACACGAGCATCACGTGCAGCATCTTCCATTCGACGAGCAATATCCAGTATCTTGGTAAGAGAACTTTCATCATCAACAAGTTCTAGAGCTCTTCGACGGAGACGTGTAGATGTGCATGTTTCAATTATTTGCTGTTTGATTTCTTTGTCAACATCAGCAAACTCACAATGGGCTGCTAAACCCTGCAGACGTGTGTGGTATTGATCCACAGTTTCATTAGAGTTGTTTTGCTCTCCTGAAATGCATAATTTCCATTGCAGTATTTTGCCTTGGTTTGAAATGCTCTGTTAGTTTGGCTTTGGCAGTGTCATAATCTTTGGCACCACCAGTGTCTTTCAGTGTGTCAAAGATGTCACAAACTCTATCACCTGCATAATGAAGTAGAAAGGCACGCTTTCTTTCAGCACTTTTGATGTCAGAAACTATCGACAAATTTTCAAACCTTTTAAGCCATTTGACCCACCTCTGTGACAGGTTTGTCTGGTCAGTCAGGATCAAATGCAGGAAACTGAGGTATATTTGCCATTTTTACTGAATAAATGTAACTTATCACTTAAATGTTCCTCAGAATATTAAACACTTACTGCACTGTATATGTTAGTCAAGAATTCACTGTAATTACTTTAATTTTGCAAAGCACACAAGCATTTTAATGCAAAAGTTCACAACAGTGCACAATATAGCAGCAACTGACTTCTTACCTAGCCCTTGTGTACATGTGTTGTTCCTACTCACAGCAGCAGCACAGCAGTTGGCACAGCAGTTGGTACAAAACAGCAGTTGGTACAAAACAGCAGTTGGTACAGCAGCAGTTGGTGCAGCAGTTGGTATAGCAGTCGGTACAGTGTGATGAATTTTGTAGCACGAAGCGTCGTTTCGTAACCAAAACATCAGGTTTTGTACACATCAAAGCGTCGTTTCGTACACAACGTCGGCAGATTCCTCAGTACAGTTTCTTCAGCACAGCTTGGGTAGCACACAGCTTGGGTAGCACACAGCATTGGTTAGCACACAGCATCGTTTAGCACACAGCATCGTTTAGCACACAGCAGGTATACTTCGCCCATGTGTTTTACCCATCTATACCTTTAAAAACGCTCTAATTTGAACCATCCACACTCCCTCTGGCTGTTGAAGGTGACGATATTAATCATACCAAAGACTTTATAAAATTAGAGCTATTCAGGGCCTTACCTCGGTGCCGAGGTAACTGAGGAAAGGAGGATAGTCGCAAATCGGTGACAGTACGCTGGTACAACATGATTGCAGCTGGCATTGCCAGTCATTATGAACGAAGAGTTGTGGCCGCGGGAGAGAATCCGTAATAGCGAGAATCGGTCTAGGATTGAAATATCCAGAGATTCGGAATGAAAACAGTTGAGCAGTTTAGTTGCAGCATCTGGAGTGACGGACACCGCCTTGACCACTATCTACGAGACTGTGGATATTTTATATATTAAAAATTTGGAGAATAATAAACCCTACATTGTTGAGTTGTTAGAACATTATTTGACAAATATAGATGCGGTTCTAAACTCCCCATTTAGCACTTGCAAGATTGGGGGGGTTGGGGGGGGGGGGGAATTAAAAGGTTGACAAATGTTAATTTTTCGTCGTCGTCTCCACCACCACTTGACCATAAAGAAAGTCTCGGCTGAATCTGGGTAAGTGTTAAGATGAACAACCCAGCGGGTGCTTTTTCCTTAAGGCAGAAGGGTGGGGGGGGGGGGCTTCTAAATGCTACTATGGTGGTATATCCACTCGCAGGACGAGTGGTGCTGCCTAATAAACTCCCTCGTGGCAAAATTAGTCTGAGTGGACAGTTCTCACAACAGCATTATTTTCGGAGGAACTGGAACAATCACTTTTGTCTATTGCTCGCTCCTGGATCTTTTCCCCAAAGACTTCTTGGTGGCACGTTAATAGTACGTATTTGAGTGGGTTTAAGCTTGTTAATCCCTGCCGCTCCCCCTTTCTGGCCCTGGAAGGATGAACCCCTCTAAGTATTCTGAAGGCCGTAAACGGTGTTAAACTTCTAAAACACCGTACGTCCACAAAAGTGAAATACGTCGAAGTATATTTGTCACTTGTGTTTTTGAGTTTGGCTCTTGGGGGCAAGGGCTCCAGATGGCAAAGAAAATGCATTAAATGAATACTAGTTAGATTTCAAACTTCTGACTCGTTGTATATGAAAAGGGTTTCATCTGGCCAGTCTCGGCATCATAGCATAAATAAGGAGAAAACAAATAGTGAAGGTGTCAAAATTATTCCAAAATGGTAAAATGATTATCAAAAAAGTGAAAACTGAAATCAAATTTGACTCGGCTATCACAATAGCATACATTAAAAATTGTTCTATTCAAAAAAGTTAAAAAAAAATTTAGTTTTCAATATTTTTTTATCAGACAATTTGCATGAAACTTACTTTACATAGTTTCTCTACAATCCCATGTAAGCGTTTTTCCTTAGTTCATTTATTGATTTTATAATGGCAATAAACGTGACATATTTGATTTTTTTTAGGGGGAACTTTGAATATATATATTAGGGAAAACTAAAGAATTTCTGGAAACTCCTTAACTCCGGATCCTTTATATGCTAATGTGTCGGAAAAGTGTTATAGAATGATTATATCTGAGAGGTGTTTGTTTATTGACACTTGAAAATGTGTAAAATTCGTTGAAAAAAATACAATTACGCTGCAGTACTTAAACTTGGAACAATTGCAGCCCTTTTCATATACTAGTCAAAAAATATTGGTTGACATTGAACAACTTTTAAGAAACCATGCCCATGCCCCCTTAACAACCGCCAGAGGGATATTATAGCCACTGTAGTACCTTGTTTTAATAATAAATTTAGGTGGGACTAAATGGCAGATGCTGCCAACTATAATAATTGATGGTAGGTGGATCTTTACTCTTAACCTTGGGTTCAATAAATTGTCTAGTGTAAACAGGGCTTCTGTAACTATTTATACACTGCAGATGAGAGGTGGGAACAGAATAAAAGCTCGACCCTCTGCAAGCACAAATAGGAGAGTACTATGGTGTTACACCAACTTGGCAAACCTTGCTAGATTATCTGATGCGGTTGCAGCACAATTCTTAATGCACTAGTGTGCAAACTGAATGTGTTAGCAGGGAGTGGGAAATATACTTAATGCTTAGCAATAAAGGTGACTCCCCATCATGGTTCATTGTCAATGAAGTAAAGACTTGAATGGTTATCTTGAGATGATTTCGGGGCTTTAGTGTCCCCGCGGCCCGGTCCTCGACCAGGCCTCCACCCCCAGGAAGCAGCCCGTGACAGCTGACTAACTCCCAGGAACCTATTTACTGCTAGGTAACAGGGGCATTCAGGGTGAAAGAAACTTTGCCCATTTGTTTCTGCCTCGTGCGGGAATCGAACCCGCGCCACAGAATTAAAGTCCTGCGCGCTATCCACCAGGCTACGAGGCCCCTTGGTGAATAATTTGTGAGCAAATAATTGAAAATTCTTGTATGAATAAAGGCAGAGTAGACCGAAAGTGGTAATAAAAGATGGCAGTTTTCTAGTAAAAAACCTAAATAATAACAAATATTGAAGTGTTGACTTAAAGTTGGTCTTAACTGCCTGGGAAATGCTATTTTTAGTTCGGCGTTTCTAATTATTAATAAACTCATGGTTTCTTGCATTGTTTTAATGATGCAGCACCTTAATAGGTGCTAGGACAGAGAACCACATCATAAAGTGGTTGTAACAAAGCTGTGCATTAGTCATTAACGTTAGCTTCTCCACAGATTACGAAGTCAGCAGTACTGCTGCAGGATTAAATGCCAGCCCTGCTGCCCTGCCTGGAGGTGGGTCTGCTAGAAGAGCACGCACGGTCTACACTTCAGCTCAGCTTGTCGAACTGGAGAAGGAGTTCCACTTCAAAAGTTACCCGTGTCGGGCAAGGCGGATAAAAATTGCGGCGTCGCTCAGCCTGTCTGAACGGCAGATCACGGTATGGTTTCAGAACCGTCGGATGAAGTATAAGAAGCAGAAATCCGAGGGAATATTCGACAAGAGCCCCAGTTCACCGTGTGCATCACCTGCTGTGTCTATGCCAACAGCATCCCCTTCAAGCGAAGTAAACGCCTTCTCTCCAGCCAACCAGTTTCACTGCGGGGGTCATCAGCAGTCGTCACACGGGTCGGGAGTGTCCAGTCCTCAGCACCTACAAGAAGCTCTTCACTACTTCCCTAGCAATTACAGTGGGCCCAATCAGTACAACAGATCCGGTATGGTCGCCTCCATGACGGGACACCATGGACCCACGCCCCACTACATGGCGCCCACTAACTTCTCTCCTGCCGTCAGCATGCACGACATGCAATTGATGGGACAAGGTCATTATGGGTATCAATACAACCTGCACATGCCATGCCCACCGCCCCTACAAGAGTCCCCACCCTACCCTCTGTTGCATATACCCTCAGTCGCAACAGATTGGACAAATGAGTTACGACAAGAGGAAAGAGACACTAACCAGCCTGTAGACTATCTCTAGTTCATCTATGGGTAGTTTGGCTGTCTTTCCCTCTTCCCCCCCCCCCCTCACGCCAAAGGACAATTATTTATCGCTGACGCGGCATGGGCAGAAAAGATAGCTAGTGGCGTGTATCTTTATTAATCTCTAAAGACGTCGAAGATGCTAGAATGTTTACATAGTGCTGAAGGCTGAAATTCCACACAACTGTTGTTAGCAGTGAGCGTGGAACGTCAGTGGCCACCCACCACAATATATCTGGTAACATTCTCTCCACGCTCTCCCACCCCCATCCCCCAGGATGGGGCAAGTGTAGGTTTGGTTATCCTTTAGGGGAGTGATGGGGGGGGGTGGAACTAAAGAATAAATTTAGACATTTGTAAAGATGGTATAAAGTCGACTCTATCCTAATTAAACTTAAGATTAATCATAGTTACCTAGCATGTAAGAAAATGTATTTGGTTAGTAGTATTAAATATGAAACCTTAGCAATGGCTTAACTAAGTGTGTGACTATCCACTATAATTTTATTTGGTGTCATTTTTCAGTAACATTTTGAGTGAGATTTCATTGAGGTTTATTGAGGTAAATGCCCTAAATGGGATGTGGCAGCTCAAGCTAGTCTCGCCCAGTTCTTTAATTTTGTTTATCGTGGGTTTATTTACGGAACCCCCCTCCCAATCCGGCCCGTTGGCGCTGTGAGGGGGCTTGGTGGTCGGCTGATGGAGGGTGATGCGCCATGGGACGGTCCTGTGTCTTTTTTTTTGACCTAGTGCTCCTGCTGCTGTCTTCTCCAATTGTGCCAGATTGCTTTTCCTTTTCCTTATGTTAAGTTTTTCTCACCCTCTTCTATCTGCTTGTCGTTTCCTGCTGACCTTTTTGCTTGCTTTAGTTGTTCTTTCGGACTTCTTCTATTTTGATGCCTGGGTGCTCGAGGAGGCATACTCTTGCATCCAAAGAACTGTAGTACCCAACTTAGAGAGCGAGGAGAACCTTTTTTTGTCAATCCTCCTTTCGTCACTGAACCCGATCTTGACGGACTGATGGTTCTTAAGGTGGCGAAGGTGGGGCATATACTCATGACGCACCCCTGACATGATCGGCGATAGCTTCTTGTTGGGTGTCCTGCCTCTAATTTTGGCTCCATGGATGGTATGGGGGCACGTTCATGAATGAATGTTTTTCCTTTCGTACCTATGTCGCATTCTGTTCCTCTTTTACCTTCTCAGCCTCGTGGGGTGGGCGACCCAGCCCCCCCCCCCCCCGAGTTGGACCGTGTTGGAAGACCAGGCTCTGTAGCCCCCGCTGCATTGGGCCCCGACCTTGCTCCTCCTTTGACCTCTGATTACTTCTCTTGGCTCCCCTCCCTCCTCTGTGGTTGGGTCGAGCCCAAGCCCCCAGTGGTGGCCACCTCGTCCCCTGGCACGGCTTCGTTTCTAGTTTGTGACTACTGTGCCTTTTAACCCCCTCTCTGGGAGTTCTAAACGCCGTCCTCGACACGGCCGCACTCGCTCGATTTCTTCCCGTACTAATGTGTATCAGGCCTTGTTAGGTCCTGCTTCGTGGGCCAACTACTTTGATCTCCTCCCTCTTGATTCTGCGCCTCCTGACGATTTCTCTTCATAGACACCTTGTTGATTCTGTAGGTGCCTCTTACTTTCCACCCCACCCGTCTCGGTGCACGTGTCGTTGCTGCTCCTTCTCAGGATGCAGCTTCCCGCTTGGCTGCTTTGTCCTGCCTTGGCAAGACCCCTGCTAGTCTCTAAGAATGCTCGGTTGAATGCCAGTATTGGCACTATTCTCCTCCCACCCCATGTTGCTACCGTTGTTCGGAATTGTTAGGACTGCCACGAAGATATTCGTCAAATCCTCGATGCCCAGGGCCATTCAGTCCTCCAGGTAGATTCGTTTACTCGTCCCCCTCTCGTGGCCGACGCCGTCCTACCATCAAACCTTTGATGGTGGGACCCTTCACCCTGTCATACTTGCTGGTGCCAGGTGCTCCGTCCAGGAGTACATTCCCTCTCCTCGGTTCTGTAATAAGTACAGGAGGTTTGGGAATGGTGCCCTCCGCTGCTCTGGAACCGTCTCATTGACCTTCGTCCCTACACAAAGGACAAAGTCGGAGTGCACTTCTCCCCAGGCTCGCTGCCTCAATTGTGGTGAGGCCCACCCTACTTTCTCCCGTGCTTGTATACATCACAAGCTTGAGGCAGCCATCCTCAACTTGAAGCACCGGGAGCGATTATCTTTTCCTAAGGCGAGACGCCAGGTTTGCTGGCTACCGCCTTATGCTAGCGTCTCTTATGCTCACGTGTTGCGCTCCTCCTCTCCTCGTCCTTCCCACCTTCTTAAAACTCAAAACTGCTTCCAGGCCTTGGACCCTGATACACCCACCACCCCCCTCTGTTCCTTTGAGTTCTGTCCCGAAGGATCCCCCTCCTTGTCCTCTGTCTGGGGTTCCCCTTCTTTCTGCCCGGTTAGTCATGTCTCCTGTGTCTTCTTCCTTGTCTCCCTCCGATTCTCCTTCTCATCCTTCTCCACTTATTGGCTCTCCACGCCCCCTGTCAGTATGGGCAGGTGTCCATCACTCTCCCAACGGCCGTCGGGTATGCTCTCGTTCAGCTTCTGTTGAGATGCTGGTATCCGTTGTCCAGTACATAGTTGCTGGGACACCTGTCTGAGTCAGAAGCGTAATCCTGACTCCTCCTTCCTCCCTGGCGGGTCAAAAGGCTTCGCTTTCTTCTTGGCCCATACTTCTGACTCTCTCGCTCCGTCCCCTCTTTTCAGTGGTTACGCTTCCTGTTCCTGCTATGGAGGTCTCTTTGGCCCCTGCTTCCCTCTCGGTTGGTGCTCTTGCTGCTCTCCTTCCCTAGGTGGCGGTTTGCCGAGGCTGGCTGGTGCCTCTTTACCCTCCGTGCTACTATCTCCGATCTCTCCATTCTGCCTCTCCCACGTGCCCTTCTCCTTATTAATGACATCGTCTTCGCCACTGCCCTCAACTCTATTCCTCGCTCTTCCTCTCGGAACGCGGAATTGCGTTCCCTGGTGGAGTGTGGCCTGTGTTCAGGCTGTCCGCTGTAAGTGTGGCCTGGAAGAGACACCGCCGTTGGCTTACAGTTGAGTCTTTGTTTCGGAAATAGTGCGGTGGCCCATAGGACTATCCGTATAGCTAAACGTGCATGTTGGATGTCTTGTCTCCTCCATTACGTCCGAAACTCCTCTACCACAGATCTGGAAGCATATCTGCAAGATAGTATGTAAGTTCGTCCCCGATGTCTTGCCGGTCCTTCACCTCCATGGTACTCGTGGCGGACCATTGCAGGTTGCGACCGAACTGGGTTCCCACTTTTCATCTGTTAGCTCTGGTTCTCCTCTTCCTCAATCCTTCCTTCCTCCGTAAGCCTATTCTAGAATCTCGACCTTTATATTTCTCTACCCCCCTCTCCGCCTTCTCCATAACGATCCCAACTATCTCCTGAGCTTCAGTCTGCCATGGCCCTCTGCGGTTCTACGACGGCGGGCTCCAGTGGCATTCATTGAGATGCTTCGCCATCTACCTCCGTGCACATCTTGGTATTTACTGAGTTTGTATAATTGGGTCTGGGAGTAGTCTTCAGTCCTTGAGGACTGGCTTGATGCTGTTGTCCTCCCTTTTCGGAAACCAGGGTCTCTCGGGTCATCCCCAAGGACTTCTGCCCTATTGCCCTCAAGAGTTGTCTGCAAGCTCTTTGAACGTATGATTAAGGTTCGTTTGATGTGGTTCTTAGAACACTATCACCACCTCTCCCCTTCTCAATTTGGTTTTCGCAAGAGCCGCAACACAGCAGATGTCCTGGTGAACTTGGACGTCTATATTCATACTGCTTTTGCTGTGAAGACCTCCGTTGTTGCCGTCCATTTTTATCTGGAAAAGGCATACGACACTACCTGAAGGTATCATATTCTGTCCAAACTTCATTCTCTTGGCCTTCATGGGAATCTCCCTCTTCCTCCAAAGTTTCTTGTCTAGTTCCTTTCGACTGAGGCTTGGTACCCCTCTCTCTGCACCTTTCAGGCAATATGAGGGTGTACCCCCAAGGTAGTGTTCTAAGCACTACTTTTTTTTTTCCTCTCTCTAGTTGCCCTAAAGTTCTCTACGTCTAAGACTTTTGCTTTGACTTTTACTCGGAAGCATGGCGTTTTTCGACCCTCTTTGTCGATTTATGGCCATTCCCTTGTGCACAAGGATTCGGCTAAGCTTTTGGGGTTAATCATTGACACTCGTTTGTCTTGGTCACCCCCATATATCTTACCTCCCAGTTAAATGTTCTAAGGCCCTTGCCCTTCTTAAGGTTTTTTCCCATACTTCTTGGAGGAAGAATAAGGGCATGCTCACTCTTACTCGTCTGCTTCTCCTCCTACTCTTCGTCGTCATGATGTTTTGCACCATACAGGGTTGTGCCTCAGCTCTGGTGCCTTTTGTTAGACTCCCGGTTGACACTGGCTTCCTATCTCTCCAGGTCTGCCGTGATCGCTACTGTCTTCGCTATCATGCGCGGTCCTTACAACATCCTTCCTCTCGCCTCCGTCATGCTTTGACTTTTACCCCTCCTATGGTTCCTGTTCTTCTTTACCACTTCCCTCTTTCTGCCCGACTATCTCGCTTACAGGATTCTCTTTTCGTTCGTATTTCTAATGTTTCTCCTAAATTGTTCCTTCTTTTTGACCCGTGGAGAGTTCCCTTTCCAAAGTTTTGTAAATCCTTGACTCGCATCACTAAAGCTTTTACCCCTCCTACGGTTCTGAAACGCCTTTTCCTTGAGCACTTTTCTCACTCCCGCTCCGGTCCCGTCTTCACCGATGGGTCCAAGTCTGCGGACGGTGTTGGCTACTGTTGTTTTTCTTGATTGCACTTGTCGCTTGCCTCCGGAGACATTCGTGGATGAATTTATCACTTTTCGTCTCTATGTCGTTGAATGTTTCCGTTGTACCCTCTCAGGCTCGTGGGGTGGGCGACCAAGCCCCCGAGTCGGCCTGTA